GGAGCTGTTTGTGCAAGTGATGGAGACTTGCAAGAAGAAACTGGGAGTGGACCATCCTTCCACGCTGACCAGCATGGCTAATCTTGCTTGGACATGGAAAAGCTTAGAGAGAAGTGCTGAAGCTATAGGCTTACTGCAGGAGTGCGTTCATCTTCGCTGTCAGACTCTTCGAGCAGGGCATCCTGATCTAGTATCTTCTCAAGAAACCTTGGCTGCATGGGAAGTAGAGCAAGCAGGTAGAAATCTTGCGATGAGTTAATAATTCTGCTCTATATTATACGCACTTATTACCTTCTTAAGGCTGCGCTTACTATGGAATGTATTAGAAATGCACTTGACAGCAGTCGAAGAAGTTGCAAGATTAGCACGAGTCATGTTAATACTTGCAAAGCTAAGACCTTAACGTTAATACTAATGCACCGGTCATTCGCTCTGCATACAAGGAATATCCTTGCGCGACAAGGATCTGATAAAATCTGGGAACGTGCCAAAGGTGAGACCGGTTTTGCAAGGTACTGTACCACCTCCATTTGACGCCAGGAAGTCGATCATCAGCCTTATGGCGCGATCTCATGTAGGCGGAAGCGAACCACCGGTTCGGGCTCATGTGCGATGATACGTATGCCTTACCTTAAACATCTGTGTGTTTTTACCGTAGCATTTGTGGCTGTGCAGATTGCGTCAGTTTTCGGATGATAAGGCATGGCCTCGGTGAGTGTATGATTTACATTACTTAGACAGCATACGCTAAGCCTTGTAGGTTGAGTGTCAAGTCGCCTGCCAAGTGCTGTTGAGGGCCTCTCCAGCCGGATAAATCCGGACTACATTCCTGTAATATAGATTAGCCTTTAATTGCACTGAGGGCTTTTATAGATAGTGGAAGGGTATTTTAGCTGCACCGACAGGCATGAATGATAGACGCAAACATTGTTATATGGCTTTGGAACAGGCGAAGTTGTACAGGTATGTGACGAAAAGATCGACAGCATGGTGATAATTCTTGTAATTTTCTATGTTTCTACTGGCCGTAGAAGTAGACATACTTGATCGACACCTTGAAACTTAAATCACCCTAATTCCACTAAATTGGAGGATCCAGTCTGACTATTTGTAGAATCCTTTTTGGCATGGCGGGTTTTTCGTTACGCAGGGACGGATGTTAGTCGGCGCTGCCGACTATCTCGCTTAATCTCCCTAACAAGGGACGCCACAGCGTGTGCCACACCTGAGCGCCACACATTGGAACCGCTCTACGCAGGAATGCAACGTTGCACTGCGAACTCGGCAGGGACAAGAAATTGAATATCACGCTGGGGAACGATCAGATTGGCTGATGGAATTTCCTTTTCACGAAATGCAAATACTACATGCCCCAAGGCGGTGCCACTGCCACTACCCATAAGTGATACTCCAACCAGGAGGGAGGAAAAAGACCGTCCACTCCAGACCTTCGTTGACCCTGCTCGCTCTCGTCATGCTAGGAACCGCAACAGATCAGCGTCTAAATATTCGAATGCTTGGTGCAACCAGACAATCCAGGTCAGTGCGGCGTCATTGCCGGCGGTGCAGGGGAAGGTGGTCGATACAGATCCCCA